TGGAGAAACTGGATACTGAGATTATAGGAAGACTCACTGAGTCCTCTAGCATGTGGGGGTTGCCTACCGCACATCTGCCCCAGGTCAGTAGGGACCACAGAATACCTATACCTTGGTTGCAGCACTCTGAGAAGTTTTTGTTTCAATCACTAAGTACTCTGTTGCAGCACTCTGAGGAAGTTTTTGTTTCAATCACTAAGTACTTTGTTACAGCACTCCCAGTACTACTCGGGCTGTTAGCCTAGCCATCCTACAAAGTGCACTGCTCTAGGGCATCTGGGCCCCCTCCCCTCCCTGGTCTCGAAGTCAACTTTCGTAATCTGACCAAATACAACATGGTGGTGATAGAAGCATTTCTTTTTATTCTAGATAAACTTTAAATAAAATAAATACTTTCTTATAAAACAGAGACCCAGGCCATTCGTTTTTGTTTATTGTTGAACAAGCAGCGCCTCGGGTTCCGGCCCACTGTGATCCTCCTCGCTCAGCAGCTCCTCATACTCCTCGCTGAGCTCCTCCGCATCCCCGAGACTGGCTTCCTCCTCGCTGGAGATGAGGTCCAGGTCCTCACTGAGAAGTCCGCCCTGGCCCCAGCTACAGCCTTCACTCGACTCATCTTCACTAAGGTCCAGCTCCTCACTGGATATCACATCCAAAACCTCACTGTGCTCGTCACTCAGGGTGTCTTCTACTGACTCCTCAAAACAGGGCTGGTCTAGTTCTTCACTAGGCTCCAAGTCCTCACTGGCCACTTCCTCGAATCCTGGAGAGTAAAATGACTGACTCACTACATTAAATTTATGGCTCAGAAAAATTACCCTCCACACAATTACCCTCCCCCAGAAAGTTTCTTCCCAAGGTTCTCCACACCATGGCTTCTTCCAATGACCTGGGCCTACTAGTCCTTCCCCAGAGTTCAGAAGTCTTTCTGAAGAAAGAACATACTACCAGGTAAAGGGAAAGGAAGACCCTCTCTCAGTCAAAGGCAGTTTGGCCATTCCTGAGAATTAAAATAAAATGGAGTTGAACCCACACAGGTCTCTAGGAAAGACTTCCTGCCATGACTAAATAGAATCAAAAGTCCTCTGTTGGGTACTTATCAGTTTTACACTACCAGGTTTACATAACCAGGACCCAAGTAATGACGTCCTGGGTCAGCAAAACACATGAAGAGATCATCCTAATTTAAATGTATACACATCCTGTTTTCAATCAACATTTAAACAAAGGTTCGTTTGTGGGAGATCCATATTCTCAGAAAGGTTAGCTAGCCTTAACCTTCCATGTACAACCAACCCCCTCCACTAGTGAGCTCCTTTGGAAACTGCCTATATACTGGCCTTCCTGGAAAAGTGCTAGTCACAGGGAAAAGTGTTTCAGCTTCTGCAGGGTCCCAGAGCATCTCCCTCTCCAAGGTCTCTAAGGTGAGGATCCCGCCTCACCACCAGGGGAAAATTTTGAGCATAGTGTAGCTCAACAATATAACAGGACATGAGGACATTGTGAAATCCCAGCAATTGGAAGGCTGACTAAGGGACGGTCTGGTCTATATTTTAAAACAAAAAATCTTAAAAATTACTTTCTGAAACAGAAAAGGGATAGGGACAAGGTCTATAAAACCCAGAAGCCTCAAACTAGGATCTGTTTTAGCCTCCCAAGTAGCTGTGATTACGAACACAGCATGTTATACTGAATCCAGTATATTTGTAATAGACTAAGCTACTCTGAAAAGCTAAGCCAAAAACTAATAATAAAATAAATGGATTATAGAAGTTGGTTGTATGAAAACTGAAAACTGAAAACTGACTGGCTACAACCAAGACACTGTGACTGGGTTTACGAGGGCTCCGGGCTGCTAACCAAGCACTAGATCCCGCAGCCCTGTACGAGGGACCCAGTCTACACTCCACATACCACCAGCAGGCTGCACGGTCACCTCATACACGTAGTAGCCATGGAGCAACTTCTTTTCCTGTGCGAAAATCCTTACTGCCTGAAAATGGAAGTCCCCTAGAACACCTACAAGAATGGATTGAAGAAATATCACTGCCACACTCATCACGGCATCACAGGGAGGGAGTGCATACCTGAGCCATACCTGAGGTGGAGAAGATCTCAGCAAGCCTAGTATATTCTTGTACTCCTGATAAAAACTTAGGCACATCTAATTAAAAGCTCTAATACATACCTTGAATTAAAAGAAAAAAAAAACTGTCCAAAGACTAGAGTGTTAGATTCTTTTTCTCAATGAAAACAAGCACTGTTAATTCACTAAAAAAAAGTACATGCTTCTTTTTTTCAGTGCTAGAGACAGTGCTAGAGATAGAATCTAGAAATTGTACACATGAGGCAAACATCCACCACTGAGCAATATCTACAGCACTTAATTTTTTACCTTTCACCCTAAGTGAGATTTTTGAGGGCTGTTCTTACTTTTTTTGTTGCAGTCTTAACTGGCCTCAAACTCATGTTCCTTCTGCCTCAACTTCCCAAGTTCTAGATTACAAAGATGGGTATCACACAACAGGATTTAATTTTTTTTTCTTTTTTCAAGAGAGAAAGGTTTCTCTGTGTAGCTTTGGCTGTCCTGGACTCACTTTGTAGACCAGGCTGGCCTCACACTCACAGCCATCTGCCTGCCTTCCTGAGTGCCAGGATTAAAGGCACATGCTACCATGGCTGGCTCTATTTTTTCTTTAGTCAAGAAAAATAAAGCAAGGGCTGGAGAGATGGCTCAGAGGTTAAGAGCACTGGCTGTTCTTCCAAAGGTCCTGAGTTCAATTCCCAGCAACCACATGGTGCTCACAACCATCTATAATGAGAGCCCATGCCTTCTGGCCTACAGTCATACATGCAGACAGAATAATGTATAAGTAAATAAATACATAAATAAATCTTAAAAGAAAGAAAGAAAGAAAGAAAGAAAGAAAGAAAGAAAGAAAGAAAGAAAGAAAGAAAGAAAGAAAGAAAGAAAGAAAGAAAGATAAAGCAGTATTTCAGATGCCTGACTTCCTCAGAGACAGAAGAGTTAGCCTCCTTTATCTTACTAATACCCAAGCTTCAGAAGACAAGTCTTTCACTCAGCAGATAGGACATCAGAACAGACTCAACCCAACATGCTGCCCCACACAAACCAAGTTGTAAATTACTAAATGCTAACTTTTGAAGAAAAAAAAAATACCCTCAGTAATTTTATTGTTTTTCTTATTGCTAGGTAGAGTAACATCCACAAAGCTGGTACTGCAGCTGGGCATGATCTCATCTAATCATCTAGCTATATTTTAGCACATTCAAGTAACAAAAAATTCAAAATTCAAGTAACAAGTGTTTGTTTCTATCTTATTACAAATTACTTATTGCTTGTCTGAAATATGTAGAGGCCAGAGTAGAGATTTACTTTTTTGTTTAGTTTTTTTTTTGTTTGTTTTGTTTTGTTTGTTTTTTAACCTGAGTTTCTCGGGATAGCCTTGGCTATCCTAGACTAACTTTATAAACCAGGCTGGCCTGTAACTCAGAGATCAGCCTGCTTTTGCTGACATCACAGGCATGTGCTACCAAGCCCGGCCTTTTGTTGTTGTTGTTTCTTTGAGACAGGATTTCTCTGTGTAGCTATGGCTGTCCTGGACTTGCTTGGTAGACCAGGCCTGCCTCTGCATCCCTGAGCACTGGGATTATAAGCATATGACACCTTTTACTTTTTTTTTTTAATATACATTTATTATTGTGTTCCTGTGTAAATACTCAAGCAACAATCTTTATTTGCCTCACTCTTACTAACTTGTTTACAGAGCCTTCTGTTTGTTTTTTTTTTGTAATATTAAACAAGCAGGTTTTCAATGTCAAACTGCAATCCATCCCAACCCTCACAATAACCTTTCTATTTAATTTCAGTTATGAGTGAGTATGTGCTCTCTTGACACACTCACTGCTTTCCTTCCCTCAGGAAGGCAAAATAAATTCTCTCCTCCCCACCCCTCTCTTTCTCTAAAAGGCAGGATAAAGAAAAAGTCTCTCTTCTCTCCCTCCGACCCCACACCCATTGAGATAACTATAGTATCACAACATGAAAAGTCCAAGACCTACCAGATCTTGGGTGACTTGTTCCTCTTCATACCCATGACATCGTGACATGCAGGGATCCTACCTGTCTCTCTTTGCTATTACTAGTAGAAACAATTGTACTTTTTACCTCCTGAGAGGTTGCTGGTGATGTTCATGTCTCTTCAGCCTCACAGCATGTTTCCATTCTCAGTGCACCAGAACAAGAGAGGCAGCAATAACATGTTCAACCCTGACCTCCCATTATCAAACGCTCACCAAAAGGGTCTCAGCAATAAAGAAGATTTCTAATAACTAAATGACAGCTAACAAGGTCATGGAAAGGCACCTGTGCACAATATACCTCAGAGTCCAGGGTCAGGCATAAAACTAAAGGCAAAAGATGGGAGAATCTATTTCCCCACAATCCAACAGGTGCTATCCTAACACCATCTGCCTTAACAAAACTACCCTCACACTCCTGATTCCTCCTGCCTTGCTCTAGATGCATCCTACAATGACAGAAAAGAGAATTATTTATGGAAACAGTATGTTCTGAACAGTATCTATGATGCCTAGTAAATTTCACAAACTCACTAATACATAAACTAGCTTGTAGAGTGGAGATAGGTCAATGTCAAGGTGTCAGTATATCCAAAATCCTGGGTTCAAATCCTGAGCACCAGAAGCAAGAAATATTTTTTAAAAGACAGAAGGTCGTATTTCCAACATCCTGTCCTGCCCCATCCATGCACTCACTGGAGGGCAAAAACAAATTAACTAGGATGAATACACTAAAATCTTTATTGCTAAAGTCACAAAAAACTCTGACAAGGTCGGCAGAAAATGTTTAATGACTCCACTGGTCTGTAAAGATAAAGGTCATAACCCAGCACAACGTTAAATGCAAAAGGTGCCACCAGGCCAGACAAAAGGATGAACTGGTTGAACTAAGTACTTACCAAAGAAGTCAAATGAAAATGGGTCCCTTCCTCCAAAAAATTCCCTGAAGACATCATCTGGATTCCGGAACGTGAAGCCAAACTCAAATGGACTGTCAAAGTGACTTCCACCTATACAAGCACAGCAAAGTGTTTAGCTATAAATTCTGGCATTTCTAAGCAACTGCTTGTTTATAACCCATTATATGCTTCATGGTCTAAGAGAGAAAGCATATTCTATACATCTAAAACTGTAAGAACCAAAAGCCTTATCATTTATGCTAATTGCACTTTGCCTATCACTGACCACATGAGTGCTCGGATCTCTAGGCCTATGAATTTCCAATCTACAGTGCTCTTTAATATCCAAAATCTGACTAAATTGCTGCTCATTGTTTTTGCCACTAGTTATAAAGGTTTATGAAAGCCAAGAATATATTCACTCCACCAATTTCCCCATAGGTACATTAGGTCACAGCAAGACTTCTAAGGACCATGATGAAGCAGCTCATCTGCTGAGCACCATTTTCTTTTTCTTTCTTTCTTTCTTTTCTTTCTCTCTCTTTCTTTCTTTCCTTTCTTTCTTTCTTTAAGATAGGATTTCTCTGTATAACCTTGGCTATCCTGGACTCGCTTTATAAAACAGACTGGCTTCGAACTTACAGAGATCCACCTGCCTCCCTGAGTGCTGGAATTATAGACATAATCCACCATACCCAGCTTGAGCACCATATAGGTAATATCTACTGTTTAAATCTTAATGGGTTTACCGCTAAAAACAAAATGAGGTTATCTATCACAGTTAACAACTCAACATAATTTCCTAATTTGACAAATGTGTGGTGGATTTTCTCCCCACTCCTTTTTCTGATGCAAGGTCTCACTATGTAAAGCAGGCTGGCCTTGAACTCTCAAACCTCCTGTCTAATTGTCTTTTGCTTTTTTATTATTGTTGTTGTTATATTCCTTTAAGGAGTCAAGAGTTACTGCAGGAGAACCATAATCATAGAGTGACCCAAAACCCACCAGGCAGGCTTTCAACTCACAGACACTGTCCTGCCTTAGTCTCCTAAGGTATTAGGATTATAAGCAGGTACTACCATGCCTGGCCAATAAGAGATTCTTTTTAATGTTTACTTCTCCATGTTTATTCAAATTTACCAATTTCAAGGCTAATCTATATTGACCATCAGGTACAAATCATACGAACTCAACGAAGACCTTTTTGTCTCCAAAGAGAAAATTCATTGACATACCTCCTCCTCCACCACCATTTAATCCTTCTTTGCCGTATCTGTCATAGATGTCCCGCTTTTTTGCTTTAAATTTGAGGAAAAAAGAAAACAATCATTATGGGTAAGTTCCTTCAAACTCTCAAAATTCACTCAATATTTCCTGTTTTAAATCTATATCCAGACTTAAAAAAAAAAAAAAAAAAAAAAAAAAAAAAAAAAAAAAACCTTGGCTTTAAAAGAAAGAAGGCAGGAGTCTTAACTCTCTGCCCTCTCTCCTAAACAGCCAGTTGGCAAACTTGTAAGTACTACAAATGCTTCCTACAAAAGTCCAGAGGATAGATGTTAAGCTATGAGCCCTGGGTAAAGTGCAAAGTGGATAAGCATACACCACAAAAGGAGGCAGGCCTGTGCTGCACTGCACAAACTCAGGTTTTGCCGAGTTGACCCAAACACTTGGTTGATGGGTGCTGTGCTGGTATTCACAAGCCCTGCAGCCTTAGCACTCCCAGACTAGGACAGCGAAAGTATAGCTGCCACTTGTATAAATCCTTTCGTTTTCCTCCAAAATCTCATATTCTACAACAATAAAATCAAAGTTAAAAAAACTTGTAAGAACAGTAACATAAGCTCTAAGGCCCAGGCTCCAGGCACTAGAGCATAATAGTCCCACAATTATTAAGACCCTGCCATATTTGCAGGATTTCTGTTATCAGTGTCTCAAGTAAAAAGATAGATACTTGTGTAGTAATGTTTCCAGGGTTGTTTTTAAAACTGGGGAGAGTTTTTAAAGTATAGTATAGTATAGTATAGTATAGTATAGTATAGTATAGTATAGTATAGTATAGTATAGTATAGTATAGTATAGTATCGTATAGTATCGTATCGTATCGTATCGTATCGTATCGTATCGTATCGTATCGTATCTATACTATATCAGAGTATAGATAATGCAAGGGGCTGTATGCCAACAAACTGGCTCAGTGAGTTTTATATCAGGTTCCTTGTCGAAACAGATTTTTAAAGATAAGTGGCCTATTACTATTTCCTATGGTCAGTGAATCATGAATCAGTACCTAACTTTTTCTTAAGACGTATTTATTTATTATGTATACAATATTCTGTCTGCATGTACATCTTCACTCCAGAAGAGGGCACCAGATCTCTTTATAGATGATTGTGAGCCACCATGTGGTTCCTGGGAATTGAACTCAGGACCTCTGGGAGAGCAGCGCTCTTAACCGCTGAACTGAGCTATCTCCCCAGGCCCAATACCTAACTTTTTAAATGCTTTTGCCTTGACTCATGCCAGGCCACAGCAGGGATGGTGCTTAAAATGTGGACAGTACTTTTCCAGTTTCTGGCACTGTTGCCAGTCCTGTAGATAAAAAATTCTTTCCTTTATCACAAACTCAAAATTTGATAGCTGCCCTAGCTGACAGCTAACCTTCACCTAACTGCAAAATATAGCCACCTTCACAGAGGCATCTACTGTCTATGCTCTAGATCCCAGGTCAGGGATCAAAGTCTAAACTGGAGCAGAATGTTCTAACCCTTCCTTATCCAAGTAGTAAAACCCCATTTACAAGGTCCTGCTGAAATACAACAATGGCTAGAGCCCACAGCCTACAGCTCATGGTTAGATGTATCAGACACAAAGACCACAAGGAAATAAAAACCCTTCGTAAGGGCAAGCAGTCTAGCTGGAAGCAAATAAATTCTGTGTCTATACTCTGCTACCTTTGGAAAGCCTTATTCCAACTCACCCTCTAAGAGCCCTTCACAAACTCAGATTTACTTACCATCCGATAATACTTCATATGCCTCGGCTACTTGTTTGAATTTCCGCTCTGCTTCTTCTTTATTTTCAGGATTTTTGTCTGGGTGCCATTTAAGTGCCTGTTTCCGATACCTTGAAAAGTGAAAATGCTGTACTGAGCGCATATGAAGACCATAGAATTTTAATAACTACCAAAAGCAGCCAGGCATGGTAGTGCACACATTTAATTCCAGCAATGGGTCTTTGAGCTGAGACCAGCCTGTGAGATCCTGTCTCCAGAGAGAGGGAGGAAAGAAAGGAGGGAAGAAAGGAGGCAGGAAGTAAAGAAGGGAAGGACAGACAAAAAACACCCTACCCTAAAAATGGCTATACTATTAGGTGAAATTAATACTATCTTAGCAGTAAGGCCCCCTTTTCCTGAGAATGAAATAAGCAAGTTCTAATTCAGGATATTAATACAAAGTGGCAAGAAGAATTACTTTTTTTTTTAATATTTTAATTTTTATTTTTTAAAGGATTTATTTATTACAGATACAGTACCTGCAACCCAGAAAAGGGCATCAGATCTCATTATAGATGGTTGTGAGCCACCATGTGGTTGCTGGGAATTGAATTCAGGACCTCAGAAAGTACAGACAGTGCTCCTAACCTCTGAGCCATCCCTCCAGCCCCAAGAAGAATTATTTTAAAAATTTGTATTTTGATGATTCAAGTGTCGAAATTATAGGCTCTGGTGATCAGGCTAAGCATGCTCAAAATATTTGTTTAGACAAGGCCTTATCCACTGAGCAGAACAGATAATTTAAATAACTTCTGTTATATTTCTACTTGCTCAGCCAGCCCTTCCTCCACACACCGTTGTAAAGAAGCACAAGCCACACCATAGGCCAGACTCCTAGTATCTTTTAAATAACAACCTTTTCTGGATTGTGTGTCTAAATAAAACTGAAACATCAACTTTTATGGCTAGAGTATGGCCACTGATAAGAGTACCTAGTATGTACACAATTTTAATTTAAGCAAAATATACGTGTTAATTAGGGTAAATTCAGTGGTAAATAAGTTGTGTCCCTCATAACCCAATGCTAGAACTAAGTAAGACTCTCAAGTACCGAGTGTCCTGTATAAATTAAGGAGCATATAAAAACCAACTGTGAACTTGACAGAATCTAGACTCACTTGGAGGACAATCTCAACGAGGCACTGCCTACCCTGAGCTACCCTGAGGGAAGGTCTGTGAGGTGCTATCCTAATTATCTTAATTGATGTAGGAAGACTAGGGACAGCATCATTCCATAATCAAAAGTCCTAAACAGCAGAGAAATCAAGCTGAGCACAAGCAAAAAATATCTACACATTCATTTTTCTTAACAACTGATATAATGTAACCAGATGTTTGAAGATTCTGCCATGACTTCCCAACAATGATGGGCTTATGTGGCTATATCCTGAAATAAGCCCCTTTCTACTGTTTCTTTTGGGACATTTCATCACAGCAACAGAAATAAATAGAACAGTAAGACTCAACTGGTTATGCCCCTTGGTTGTTAGGGGCTAGACATGCAAAAAGGATCTGATGCAATCAAGTGAGTTTTCTGGAGGTAGTCCGCTCACTTTTGCACAGCGCACAGCTGATGAATGGGGTATCCCTGGTTTAAGCAAGGCCCCAAGTGTTTTTGCCTCTATACTGCTTATTGCTGCTAATTTGCCTCTCCATGCTTGTCATTACTGTAGCCCTCATATATACCTGACATGGAATAGAGAACCCCTCACTGCCTACTGCTCCATCGGTGCTCCTCTCCATTAGATTTCCTGCAGAATCATATGATGATGATTTTATAATCTTTATGATGTTTTGATTCAAGTAACTTCTACCCTCCTGACATTAGCTAAATAATCTGTGAACCACATGAATTACACCAGAGAGAAAAAGAAGGCTGAAACAAATTAATGATCAAGGAAATACATTTATTCTAGGTTTAGTCCAGGGATGCTATCCAGGTATTTATCAGGACCATGTGAATATAAAAACAAAGAATAAACGGTTAGCTATATAAGACAAGACAGACAGACACCTTGTTTCTTGGTAAAAACCATGACATAAAAAATTTTTACTCGGGCTGGAGAGATGGCTCAGAGGTTAAGAACACTGGCTGCTCTTCCAAAGGTACTGAGTTCAGTTCCCAGCAACCACATGGTGGCTCATAACCATCTATAATGTGATCTAGTGCTTTCTTCTGGCCTACAGATACACATGCAGGCAGAATACTATATAAATAATAAATAAATCTTTTAAAAAAACTTTTACTCTGAACATGTAATGTACACTTGAAATAAAAGACAAATCTTCTGCTTTAAACTTATGAGCTTATAAATAAAGCCACTGCTTAAAAAGATCTAGCTATAATATACATACAAACACACATATATATGAAAAAAAAATATCTAGCTAGATACAGCTCTATTGAAAACACCTATAATCAATAGTCTTTCGTAACTCCCTTTTGTTTAAGGGTTGTATCTCTTACATAGAGAACCTTTGTCTTAAGAGGGTATAAAAGCCAGGACAGAATTAAAGTTGGTGGTGGTGGTTGACAGGAGTTTTACTCCATCCACCACGCACCAAATATGTATTTGTCTGTGTATGTTTGTATGTATAGATGTCTGAATAATATACGTATATACAAGTGTGTAAAAATCTTATGTATATGCATGTACATGTCTGATGGGGGACCTCTTGAATGTACATATGAATGTGTACATGTCTGCATGTTTGCCTGTATGTGTGAACTGGTACTATGGAATGTGTGGGAAATGTATAATCTGTGTGTGTGTGTGTGTGTGTGTGTGTGTGTGTGTGTGTGTGTGTGTATCTCCCTCTAACTCATAAAGAGTTATAAGTCTCTGAACTCTTGCATGGGCTCCGATGCTCATTCCTGAGTCAAAAGTTTTCTTCAGCAGTATAAGTAATTAAGTAGTAAAGTCTGAAGAGTAATTAATCTGTTAACTCTGTGGACATCTCCTCCGTTTTTTCCCTAGTCTGTCAAAGCTGGACTTTGACACCTTGTTACACACCAACTTTTTTTGTTTATTAAGACAGGGTTTCTCTGTATAGCCTTGGTTGTCCTGGACTCACATTGTAGATCAGGCTGGCCTCGAATTCACAGATATCCACCAGCCTCTGCCTCCTAGAGTGCTGGGATTTCAGGTATGTGCCACCGAGCCCAGCTTTTACATCAGCATTGTTTAAAATAATGGTGAAAGCTTACAAGTGGATACTAGACATATAATATAGAATAAACCTACAAAAATCTGAACACCTAAAGAAGGTGAGCTAGGGGTTAGAGAGATGGCTCAGTGGTTAAGAGCACTGTTTGCTCTTCCAAAGGTTCTGAGTTTAATTCCCAGAAACCACATGGTGGCTCACAACCATCTATAATGAGATCTGGTACCCTCTTCTGGCCTGCAGGCATAAATGCAGGCAGAACACTGTAAACATAATAAATAAATCTTAAAAAAAAAAAAAATGGTGAGCTAGAAGACAGACCCTGGGTAAGATGATCAATCTTCACTCAGACAGGCAAACAGGATGGACATTGAAAGAAGGAGAAAACAGGAAACAGGACAGGAGCCTCTGAAAGACTCTACCCAGCATTGTATAAAAGCAGATAATGAGACTCATAAACTTTGGGCAGAGTGCAGGGAATCTTAGGAAAGAAAGGGGAGATAGTAAGACCTAGAGAGGACAAGAGTTCCACAAGGATAGCAACAGAACCAAAATATCTGGGTAGAGGGATCTTTTCTAAGACTGATAATCCAACCAAGGACCATTCATGGAGATAACCTAGAACCCCTGCTTGGCTGTAGCCCACGGCAGCTCAGTATTCAAGTGGGTTCCCTAGTAAGGGGAACAGGAACTGTCTCTGACATGAACTCAGTGGCTGGCTCTTTGACCGCCTCCCCTGGATGGGGGAGCAGCCTTGCCAGGCTACAGGAGGATAATGCAGCCATTTCGGATGAGATTGGATAAGCTAGGGTCAGATGGAGGGGACCTAATAATAGCTTCCATGGACCTGGAGAGGGGCATAGGAGGAGATGAGGGAGGGAGAGTGGGAATGGGAGGGGATGAAGGAGGGGACTACAGCTGGGATACAAAGTGAATAAACTGTAATTAATATAAAAAATAAAAATTAAAAAAAATAATGGTGAAGGGTTGCAGATATAGTTCAGGAGACTACAGGCCTGGATTGCAATTCAGAAACACCAGGGAAAGAGAAAGGCATAATATAAAGCAGCACAAAGTAAATATAGATCATACCCACTGGAACTGTGGATGGAACACAGGGCCTCTAGCACAGAAGGACAAATGTCCTTATTTTAATATTTCTATTTTGGGAAAGAGTCTGAGATGTCAGGTTTTTGGGTGTGTGTGCATGTGTGTATATGAGAGTGTGAAAGCCAGGTCTACCTCCTCAAGAACCAACCATCCAACCTTTTGGGTTTTTTAAAGACTGGTAGGTCTTTCTTCATAGAAACCTAGAGATCACCAATTAGGTAGAATGTTGAATGAGCCCCATGTCTGAGCACAAATGTCAGCATTTTACTTTTTTGTTTTGTTTTGTTTTAATATTAGCATTTAACTTAAAATTAAACCATACAATTAAAAGCTACTTTAGGTCTGTGGTGGGCAGTAATCCAGTGCCTGCCTATCAAGTATGAGGCCCTTGGATTAGATCCCACTACAGGGTGGGTGCCGTGTTCCACTTGTTGCTCTTACCGAGATACCAAGTTTGATTCCCATTACCCATACGATGGTTGGAATTATCCATAAAGCCTGTACTGAAGGATCGTATACTATTCTCTTCACCCTCGTTGGACACTAAGCACAGGTATACATACAGGCAAGCAAAACATTCACATATAAAACAAATAAATCTAATTTTAAAAAAGGAAAACAAAAGGTTGATTAAGTGACACAAGTTACACTATCTATTACCAATGACCCATGACAGAGAATACTTGAGAAATGAAATCACTTACGCCTTTTTAATGTCCTCGGGTGAGGCATGTCTCTGCACGCCCAGAACTTCATAGTAATCCACCATGTTTTAACAGTGTTGGAACAAATCCTGCAAATACATAAATACAGTCCATGATAACACTGCCCTATCGGTGAAAAATTAGGGGGAAAAAAATGAGGTGAGTGGTTCCTTCTCAGTACCTACTAGCCCAGGGAGAACTTCAGGTAGCCAGCCACTAGCCTGTATCTTAGGGCAGAACATTGTCCATAAAATGGGTTCAAGAATATATCCTGGGCTAGAGAGATGGCTCAGAGGTTAAGAACACTTGCTGTTCTTCCAAACGTCCCTGAGGGAGTTCAATTCCCAGCAACCACATGGTGGCTCACAACCATCAATAGTGAGATCTGGTGTGCATGCAGAATGTTGTATAAATAATAAATAAATCTTTTTTTTTTTTTTTTTTTTAAAGAATATCCCGTCTGAGTGGTGGCACACACCTTTGATCCCAGCGCCTAACATGCACAGGCATACAAATCTGACTTCTATGCTAGCTTGGTCTACATAGTAAGTTCCAAGTCAGCCATGGCTACAAAGAGAACGACACACACTTACACCCCCAGGAGGGAGGATCATTCCCAAACTCTATCTAGAAAAAAAATGCTTGGATGACCTAATAATAGCTTCAACTATTAACAGGTCACCCGGCTCTGAGGCAGAAATCAGGTGCCACTTGACAAAAGGACTAGCTACAAGTGCTTTCCTAGACCACAATATACTTGGAGAGATTTGGTGACTTCCCTCCCCCAGTGAGTTTCTCCAACAGGCATACGCCAAGACTGCAAGGATGAACACACTAACCCTGCACTTAAAGGCACCCTTTCTCAGAACCATGTTCTCTAATGGAGGTGGCAGCAGCCCTTGATGAAGTTATCCATGAGAAAACCCAACTGTGCCAACAATCTTCTACCAGAAAACCAAAAGGGATAGCAGTAAACAAAAGCAGCCAGAAAACACCTCTTCCTCCCTACTTCATTAAATGATACAGGGTTGTGGCAGCAAAGGATCTAAAGCAACATTTTAAAAGCAATGCTAACTACAAGACCCAAGAGACAACTAAGGAAAACATTGTTATGCTAACCCACTCTAAGAGAACAGAGAGCTTTAGTAAGAGTCAAAGCACATGTCCTCTCCTTCTCTAGTTTGTCTAATATTTCCACTGATGTTCATCTTTCCATTATGGGCAATACAAGAACTGGAGCTGACACTAGGAAGGCCAAATTAACCAGCCATGAACGCTGACTACAAGGCAGTGGGGTGTACAGCATCCACTGGCAGTCCTGGTACTCAGGCAATACTTGAATGCTGGCCATCTTAAATGAAGAGTATCCCCCCTTGAGTTAAACAATTCATCTGGAGAATTCTGACACTTTGCTAGAGCTGCCAACCCCTTGAAATGGACACTGATTTAAGCTCAATGATAGGTCAGTGTATTTTTCCAAAGCCTTGACTCACTCACTGGTGTCCACTTCTGTCCTATCTCACCATTTGAAATCACCTGATTTAAGCTCAGGAACTCTTAAACTTCCTAGTACCACTGTGTACAATTAAGGGCTATCCTAAATCTCTTCCCTGTCTTCTCAAATCTGCCTTCTTACTAACTGAAAGGGAGAGAGTGGCAAACTTACTCACTGAAAGGGACTCAAAGCCTCTTCTCATCATCTATCTCCCGTTATATAACACCGTGAGTCCCAAATGGAAGCCTAAGACTGTAAACAGGCACATGACTGTACAAAATAGCTACTTGGATACTAAGCAGATTTTCTCAAATAGAACATGACCAAACCTTAACTCTTGAGCCTCCCCACTCCACCCAACACACCTCTCTAGAAAATGCTATCTTTATTATTCTACCTTATTACCTCATTACCTCAAAGCTGCTACACCCACCACATAAATAAAGAAATTATGTAAAGGTAGTATCTATCACTCTTCCAAAACATCTTCAACTCCTCTACCTTCAATGTCGCCCTTACTCCTGAAAAAGCCTTTGGCCTACTCCTCTTCTCAATGAAGACATTGAGACATTATTCAAAAGACATTATTCAAAAGAATAATACACTAGGCAATATCAGCCATAAGGGAATAAGTCAACTGGGAAATTAAGAGAACAATAACTCATTGTATTAACTAGTGTCAGTTATGAGAGAGGAAAGCGTTACAAAATACAGCAGAGCACAAACAAAGTTTAAGAGCTATCCCAACTTAGATCAATCAAATTGGGTATGGTAGGAGGATCAGGAATTTAGGCCATAGTCTGACATAGGTTTATAGCCAACTGGAGACACTTGTAACCCTGTCTCAGAAAACAAACAAAAAAACGTCTTTTGGTTTCTTGTGGTTGGTTAGTTGGTTTTATTTGTTTGTTTTTCCAGTAAGGGCTTCTCTACGTAGCTCTGGCTGTCCTGTAATCCACCTGTCTCTGGCCCCTGTGTACTGGGACTAAAGGTGTGTGCCACCACTGGCAGCAACGCTTAACTTTAAAAGTACCTTCTAAGCAGAGTGTGATGTTGCATGCCTTTAACCCCAGCAGTTGGGAGGCAGAGGTAGGCAGGTGGGCCAGACTTGTCTACAGATTCCTAGGACATCCAGGACTACATTGAGAAACTGTCTCAAAAAAAAAAAAAGGAAAAAGAAAAGAAAAAAGGGAGGGAGAGAGGCTAAATAGAAAGGAATGAGGGGAGGGGAAGGGAGACTGTCTGAGTCTCTCAGTAGATTAGGTGTCTTGTCTGTTCATTGTGCTTTAGGATTGATTGTTTAGTTGGTCTCTGGCCTCCGCTCTCCAGGTATGCAAGCATCCATATATCCAAGTCGTGATCATTAAGACATTGCTAGTTTCTAGACATGGTGGCATACACCTTTGATCCCAGCACTAGCTGGGCAGCAGTAGGTGGCTCTCTGTTGAGGTACAAGGCACATAATGAGACCAAATCTCAAAAAAGAAAAAACAACATTGCTGCAAGTCCCCAGAAGGCAGCAGCACCCAAGTAAGAACTTTCCTGGCCAGGAAGGATGAACCCCTGAAGAGACCATGGGATGGCAGCCTGAGGCAAGTGGACTGCTAAGGAAGACTAGACAACAGAAACTTCTCCATCACAGCAGGAAATGGTGGTACAGACCTATAATCCTAGCTAAACTGAGGTAGTCCTGTAGGTGTTCTAGACCTTGGGATGGAGATAGAGTATAGACAGTGTTTGAACAAAGCCCTGGGTTCAATTTCCAGCAACTCATGACCTGTAATTCCAGAACCAAAGTAGAGAAAGGGGTTCTGAAGAAAAAAACTTTTACACATAGCAAGTTCAATGTTAACGTGCGCTACAAAAGACCATGTTTCAAATATATATGAATATGAATAATAAATGATTCTGAACTGGAAGTCATTGGCAGGGAATCAAACACCCAGTAGCAGGGTGTTTGATAGCAAGTGTTTGACTAAGGTATTCAAGGCTCTGAATTCTACCCAAACACTAAACTTCAGTCACAACTGTAAGCACGTACATTCTGGCCCTACTATCAGCTTCAGAAACAATTCTGTCCCTGCTCAATGTCTTTTATATATACATGTGTCACTTAGTGGGTAGAGGGTTATTCTGGCATACCAGTAGGCCTGAGTTCAATCTCCAGTACTAACAAATACGGAGTGGTAGAGGCACACAGGCCTTTCTTTTAACCCCAGCGGTGAAATCTGAGAAAGGACTTAAAGTTCATCCTATCTCAATCAGCTCCAGGTCCATCCGTGTTAGTCACACTCTTATCTCAAAATAATAGAAGGCTGGATTTTCTGCCCTTAGTTAGTTTACTACCTATTTGTGTCAGTGCCATCTACAGGGGAAATGAAGCACTTGCCCACACTGACAAGCAGACATGTTTGCACATATGATATATAAGGCAAGCCTGTGCCCATAAAGTCTGGAAAAGGGGGGGAAACTACAGCTTTGATTCCTATTCCTTTTACCCATTTTCCATCTAACTGTTGGCCCTTTCCTGCTGAGGTCACTAAAAAGCAAGCTTTGACTCTCTCTACCAGTTTTTATAATTCTTTCAATACAGGGACACCCAGCAGGGGCCAGGTTCCACTAAGTACGGGGAGAAGGGCCAGCTAACAGTGCTTCTACTGAGATGATTGCATGCAGCTAAAACTGAATTAAGATCAAGGCCAACAATGAATTACAAAGATAAATAAAATTCAAAGAAAGAGCATGCATAAACAGAAATTAAGATGGAAATTTAGAGAAAGGACTGTCACTAGACTGAAAACAGAAGCTCAAGAAACCTGTCCTAAGGAGATTGGTCCAATTCAACAAGATGATATATAACTGATGGCAGTGCCTACCAAGATGCATGCACTCCATTCAAACAAGCACTCAACTGCTGTATTATTCTATAATGTGAATCCAAAGTTGTTCATGCACTTAGGATGACTTTAGACTAGTCACACCAAATTACTAAAATATTAAAATATCTAACACCCAAATATACACTAGACGTTAACAGAGACCAAGTTTTACTCCATCTGAATCCAGAACACCAACTAGAATCCATATCCAATGCGCTGTTTGACGACCAAGCATCAAAACTCAGCTGGGTGTGGCGGTGAACTGCTTTAATCCCAACACTCAGGGTACAGACACAGGGATAATTTGGTTTCGAGGCCAGCCTGGACACTGAATTCCAGGATATCCAGGGCTACAAAGAGAAACCCTGTCTCAAAAACTTTACAAAGAAAAATGTTCAAATCCCTTCAACTCACTCAATGGGAGAAGGACATTTGGTGGTAAAAGGCCTCCCATATGGCAGTCAGACTCTACCACTGAGATACAGTCAGCTGACCAGTACCCCTTAAAGCAAGGTTTCACTAAATTATTCCAGGTGACCTTGGATCTGGCAGTCCTAGACTCCTGAGTGGATGGTTCTTACAGGCCTAAGCTACGAGGCTCTATAAATTTATTACAGTTACTTAGTCTTGTCAATCCAAGATACACCTTGTCTGAAATTTTAATTTATCCAAGATGAAACTGCTACCAAAAGCTTCTGTCTTATATAATTCAACT